GTCGGTGGGGCCCCTGTGGGGCCACGAAACGTGTGAGGGTGTGCCGAAATGGATGTGCGGGACGCATGCGGGCACACCCACTGGGACCTTCGGTGGGGCTCCCTATAAGGCGACGAAACGTGTGAGGGGTGTGCCGATATGGGTGTGCGGGACGCATGCGGGCACACCCACTGGGACCTTCTGTGGAGCTCCCTATGGGGCCACGAACCGTGTGAAGGGTGTGCCGAAATGGATGTGTGGGGAGCATGCGGGCACACCCACTGGGACCTTCGGTGGAGCTCCGTATGGGACCACGAAACGTGTGAGGGGTGTGCCGAAAACGGGTGTGCGGGGCGCATGCGGGCACACCCACTGGGACCTTCCGTGGACCTCCCTATGGGGCCACGAAGCGTGTGAGGGGTGTGCCGGAATGTGCGTGCGAGACGCATGCGGGCACACCCACTAGGACCTTCGGCGGAGCTCCCTATGGGGCCACGAAACGTATGAGGGGTGTGCCGAAATGGGTGTGCGGGACGCATGCGGGCACACCCACTGGGACCTTCGGTGGGGCCCCTATGGGGCCACGAAACGTGTGAGGGGTGTGCCGAAATGGGTGTGCGGGACGCATGCGGGCACTCCCACTGGGACCTTCGGTGGAGCTCCCTATGGATCCACGAAACGTGTGAGGAGTGTGCCAAAATGGGTGTGCAGGACGCACGCGGGCACACCCGCTGGGACCTTCGGTGGATCTCCGTATGGGGCGACGAAGCGTTTGAGGGGTGTGCCGAAAGACGTGTGCGAAACGCATGCGGGCACACCCACTGGGACCTTCGGTGGGACTCCCTATGGGGCCACGAAGCGTGTGAGGGGTGTGCCGAAATGGGTGTGCGGAACGCATGCGGGCACTCCCACTGGGACCTTCGGTGGAACTCCCTATGGGGCCACGAAACATGTGAGGGTGTGCCGAAATGGGTGTAGGGGACGCATGCGGGCACACCCACTGGGACCTTCGGCGGAGCTCCCTATGGGGCCACGAAGCGTGTAAGGGGTGTGCCGCAATGGGTGTGCGGGACGCATGAGGATGATGATGAGGACGATGACGATGATGGTGATGATGATGGTCGTGAGGATTATGACGATGATGGTGATGACGGTGATGATGACGACGACGACGACGTCGACGATGATGATGATGATGCTGATGATGATGATGATGATGGTGATGATGATGATTATGATGATGATGATAATGATGATGATGATGATGATGATGATAATGATGATGATGATGATGATCCACGCATCCAAGAAGGTCTGGAGCTCCCCGCTCGATACAGCCTCCCGAGGCCATGGCCTTTCCCTCTGGCGCTGCGGACGCAAGGCCTGACCCGTGCCCAAGGCGCACTCGCAGACTCGCCTGAAAGCCTTGAGGCCGCCGACCGCCCCAGCCAAAGGCAGGCGATCAGCAAAGCATCTGAGCCCTCACGGCAACTCAGCTCGCAGACAGCTCAGCGCGCCACATCAGAGCAACAGTCTCCTGGGCACCAGGCCACAGACGGGAGACGACTTGCTCTGAGGTGGCCTTCGGAGGCGATCCTGACGGTCGGCCGTAGCCTACCACCACGGTTCGGCCTCCGCCTGGCGCGCACAGAGCACAGAGCGGGCTGGAGCGCAGCAAGCTGCGCGGGCTGCCGCGCCCAAGGCGCGCCAGCAATTAAGACGGAGGCGCCGAAGGCGCCAAGCGACAAACGTTGCCCAAGAGGGCGGGAGGGAGTGAACCCTGACGTGTGCCGAGCCCCACGGGGTACAGCCTACGCCGCGGGGTCCCTCCCCCCCCAGAGGTAGCGGCTCGGCGCAGGCATTCGTGATCCTTGGACCCGCCTGCGACCCGAGCTGATCAGAATGCTGGCTCGATCGGAGGCAACCATGGCGGTGTGCGAACCTACCGCCACGGTCCAGCCTCCGACTGGCTGCACAAGCAGAGCATGCCAACACGTCTGTTCGCGTGATGGCAGACAGAGCGAGGCGGCAAGGTGGCAAGAAAGAGCCTAGCCACCATCGACACGCCTGCGCATGCGCCGCAGCGGCTCAGGGTCGCTGATGCCGCCCGCCCCAGCGGGCTGCAGGCCGCGCTTCAGCCTGCTGAGCACCGCCTTCTGCCTATCGTTCTTGGGGGCCTTCGTGCACTCCGCTGCCAAGCCCGCCATCCTGCGGCTCTGCGTCCAGTAGCCGCACTTCACGCAGAAGAGGTGGCTACCAGCCCGCCACAGGTCGTGGGAGCCGTGGGCGTCCAATCCCCACCAAGGCGGGAGCTGCGGCGGCGGCAGCGGCGGGGTCCCGCCACCGGCCCCAGAAGGACCCCCCGACGGTGGGCTACCCCGCTGGCCGCCGCCAGGCGCGCCGCTGCCAACTCGCCCTGCACTCGCCTCGTCTCCTTCCACCTGTGCTGGTGCCTCGCTGGCCTGACTGTGAGACAGCAGCGCCGCGCCCGCCGTGATGAGCGCCGCGGCTGCAGCGACCGATCCGCCTCTGCTCTCGGCCCCTGAGGCCCAGGAGCCCGCGAGCGCGTCGCCCCTGCCCGCGCACCGCTGGCAGGCCCAGACCGTGTCGCCGTCGACGTCCAGCCACGTCCCGTGCCGCCCGCACGTGCGCTGCGGGCAGTCTGGGAAACTGCAGTGAGCTCGCCATCGCATCTTGCAGCCGCGCCAATCGCACCGAACTGCTCCCAGGCCTGGGCCCTCGTGCCCGTCCGCTGCCGTGAGCTCGGCGTCGCCTTCCTGCATCGCCGAACCCAGCCAGCAGAAGACCTTCTTGACGAGGCGATCCTGCCTGCGGCTCCTTTCTCGCACGTCGTCGTCGCTGGGATGCATCTGCGCGCCCTGCACGGCGCGGGCATCGGCGCTGTGATTGCCCCGCCGCTGCCAGGCCGTGACGCGCTCCGCCTGCACGTCCGCCAGCGTGGCGTGAGCCTTCACCTTGTGGATGGTGACGCTGCCGACCCCTACGTCGTCGAGGGCCGCCCAGAACCGCACCCAAAGCTCGCGGTAAGGCCGCTGCCACTGCAGGCACCACGCCCTGCCCACCGCGAAGCCGTCCACGAGCAGCTTGCAGTCAGTGAAGATCCGCACAGGTGGTAGGCAGCTCTGGATGCCCTCGATGGCCGCCACCAGCTCCGCTGCCCCTGATTCTTGGGGATACGGCCAGGGGAGCGGGCCGAAGAGGCTGACTGCCTCGCTGTCGGGTCCCATGACGACGACCGCCCAGCCGCCGCGCGCCGAGACGAGGCTGGGGTCCAGAACGCTCCCGTCCGTGAAGAGGTCGCCCGAGAGCGGCTGCCCCACCAAGTCGGCAAGACCCTCCTTCCGCGCCTCCCTGGCGTCGGTGGGCGGTGGCAGGGTCCTCCGGTGCTCGGGTGCAAGAGCGCGGGACCAGAGCGGGTCCTCGTCTCCCTCGATGCTAGCCATTCCGACGATGGTGCGAAAGGGGATGTCGCCAGGGGGGCACCGCTCGCCCGCCTCCTCGTTGGAGATCCACTCGCCGCGGCTGACCTCGGTGGCTGGGCACTGCCACGCCAGGTGCCGCACTGTGCCGTGCGCAGGGCATCCCCTGGGGCACCAAGGAGAGGAGGCCAATGGGCGTTCCTCAAAAAACCGCCGCGCCACTGGCCAGAGACATCCGACCAGCGCGTTCTTGGCCGAGCTCATCTGCTTGGCCTTCTGCTTGCTCATGCGCTTGCGTGCCAATGTGCGCCTGATACTGGACAGGGCGCCTCCATCACGCAGGTGCTCCAGTCCTGGGTGCTTGCTCGCTGCCCGCCACAGCGCCCTCTCGTGGCCATCGGCGATGTGCTTGGCGAGCGTGGAGGCCCCCAGGGTCCGTAGGTCCATGATGATGATGATGATGATGATGATGATGATGATGATGATGATGATGATGATGACGATGATGATGATGATGGTGGGAGGAGGGAGGAGGGGGAGGAGGAGAGGAGGAGAGGAGGGGAGAACGCGGGGCGACGTCTCTTCAAAACGAGGACCCAACACCACAAGGTGGTTGGGGAAAAAACAGGAACCCCCAGGAGACCCGATGAGGCACCAGGCGCCAGGGGGTCCAAGGACGCCCCAAGAAGGCCCCAGGAGACCCCAAGAGGCTTCAGGGAGCCCCAGAGGGTCCCAGGAAGCCCCAGAAGGCCACAGGAGTGGCTCCAATCATATGTGTTTCCGTGCGTTCCTATCGATTGGACCTCTCCTCGGGCACGAATCCTCGCTGTTTGGCGTATGTTCCTACAGACTGGGCCTCTCCTGGGGCACGAGCCCCTGGTGGTGTGTGCCTGTTGCTATAGTTGCCGCTCTCCTGCGGCTCCAATCTTGACCGTTTGCGTATGTACCTGTACATTGTGCGGTTCTTAGGGCACGAAGCCTTTTGTGCTTATCGTACGCCTTTCTAGATCGTCCCTCCCCTGTGGCTCTACAATTAAGTTGTTTTTACGTATGCGCCTGCAGACTGGGCCTCTCCTGGGGCACGCAGCCTGGGTGTGTTACGTCTGCTCCCATATCTTGCCACCCTCATGTGGCTCCGATCCCGATCCAAAGTGCTTGACGCATGCTCCTGTATATCGGGCCTGCCCTCTCAGTGGCGTGGCTGGATGTATGACGGTCCAGCCACTGCGTGAGCTCTTCTGGGCCAGCCAACGAAGCGCAAGGGTTTCGCACCGCGTTTGCATGAGTCCTCCCATTCATTGCTTCATCACGAAGGGGAGATCGCGAAGCCATTTCGATTCAGTCACGCTTAGTCATTATCAGGCCACTGACGCGCATATAAATGTGTCCTGAGCTGAGACATCCGCAGACTCGAACGCATCGACTCACTCGTACTACTGAAACTCATTCACACTCCAACTCCTTCACAGTTAGATCCACTTCCAGTCTGTCAACACTCAAGCCTGTTTAATTACACTCGAAGTCTCTTGCGCCTAGACGTTCACCGTGGAAATGTCCATGCACATAGATGCACATACAGTAGGAGCTCGACCACAAGAACCCTTCCAACAGAAACCCAACCCTGAGACCCCAGGTCGTCCACTGATTTTTGGTGTGGGAATGTCACGCCTTCCATCGCAGAACCATCGAAACCCAAGAAACCCAGGGCACCCTGGAAGCAAGCAGGGTGTCTCTGGGTATGGGCTTCCAATGTACCGACCCCATGGAGCCCTCCGCATCCCCGATGCATTGGCGATGCACTGGCGACACCAGCGAGGCATCGGGGACGTCGACGTGAAGCAAAACGGGATCCACATCGAGCCGCATCGCCGATGTGTCTGCAATGCGGCGGCATCCTCCGACCCCGTCTGCTCCAGTTCCCTCTGGGAGGCCTAGACTTAGGTCGGGCCTGTCCCCCTACAGGGGCATTTTGGATGAAAATATCAAAAGACTCAGAAAATGATGAAGAAATGACCCCCAAAATACTCAACTTTTTTTTCTTTCAATTTTTCACTATTTTTGAATATCCCCCCAGACTATTTTATTATTATTTTTGAATATCCCCCCTGTAGAGGGACAGGCCCGACCTAAGCCTAGACGGACCCCGGCGCACGCGAAGGCCCTCCCACTGGCGGACTCCCGAGGACACGCGAGGCTCCCGCACGTTGCTGCCGCACCCAGGAGCCCCAGGCCGGAGGCCTGGGAGTGGGCACCGACACCAACACCTGGGTAGTCGAAGCCAATCTGGCGCCTATCTGGCAGGCCCAATCTGGCAAATGGGGGCAATCTGGCGAGGGAGCCAACGCGAATCCAGTCTGGCGAATAACCCAAATCCTCCAAAATTTGGCCAGGCCAGATTGGCCCTTGGGGCCCAGTCCAATCTGCCAGTCTGGCCTTCGACTACCCAGAACACAGGGGGCTGCCCCCACAGGGGGGGAGGGTGCTCCCAGATCTCGGTGCTGGTGCTGATAGTTCGGCCGCCTGGAACGCCAGAGTACCACCATCATCACCGAGATCGGGATCTTCCTCCCTCGGTGGAGGCACACCGCCGATATTAGTGTTGGTGTCGGCCCCGAGGCCTGCGACGCACCTCCGCCCCCCCGGCCCCCCCCCTCGACTTGCCGCCCGCGGAGCCGCCCGCGCCGCTGCCGCTGCAGGTGCCGCCGCCCTCCTCCAGGCCCCCGGGCGGCTCGCCGCCCAGGGGCCTGCCGGCACCCCCGTCGGCGCCGCAGGCGCTGCCGACGGGGCCGCCGGTGGCGTTCCCCATCCTGGAGGAGGTAGAGTCGGGGCCTTGACCTAAGGAGCCCTAAAGAAGGAACGAGGCCCCTTTTTTCCATAAGTTAACCTTCGACTTGCTGTCAAAAACAAAAGGAAAACCTGAGGCAAGCTGTGAAACACTTAAGGAACACCGAGCCCCTCCCCAACGAAAAGGGTTCCTTCCCCAGGGCCCCGACTGTAAGAGCGGCAGAAGCAGAAACGTTCGGAGCTCCGCGCGGACTCTCTGGATGGGCGCTGGCCACCTCCCTGCCCCTGGCGCGCGGGGCCCGCCGGAGGGGCAAAGCGCAGATTCGGGAAATCCGCGCTGAGCTCCGAAAGTTTAGCCTGGTGCCGATTTGTTCATCTGCGGCGTCCAGAGGGTGACCTTGTCCAGCATGCCCCTGGCAACTCGCCTCCCGACCGGGCGGGCCCGTGCGCCGGGACTGCAGAGGAGGAGGAGGAGGAGGAGGAGGAGGAGGAGGAGGAGTAGGTGGAGGAGGAGCTAGGAGGAGGAGGAGGAGGAGGAGGAGGAGGAGGAGGAGGAGGAGGGGGAGGAGGGGGAGGGGAGGGGGAGGGAGGAGGAGGAGGAGGAGGAGGAGGAGGAGGAGGAGGAAGAGGAGGAGGCTGCAGGATGGAGGATGAGGAGGAGAAGGGCGATGGGGGAGGGGGAGGAGGAGGAGGAGAGAAACCAGGATAATGGAGGAGGAGGAGGAAGAGGAGGAAGAGAAGGAGGAGGACGAGGACGAGGACGAAGATGAGGACAACGAAGAGGGAGGCGGGGGGGACGAGGGTGGAGGACCGAGGCCTCATGACTCTTCACGTGAAGGATTTCAAATGTAGTTTTGCAATGTGCTTTCGAACAATACCCAGAACAAAAAACAGCTAATCCATAAAGGCGGTGACCCTGCTGCAACCCTGACCGTAATTTCGGCTCGGCACTTTGCTCCCGGCGTGCAGATTTGCGCACTCGCCCAAGCGTGGGCCACACTTCTGGACCCGATCCGTTATCGTCACTATCGTCTTCCTCTTCGTCCCGCCTCCGCCTTGCCCTTGTCCTTCTGCTCCTCCTACTCCTCCTGTTCCTGCTCCTCCTCACCGTCCTTCCTCTTCCTCCTGTTCATCCTCCTGCTCATGCTCCTGATCATCCGCCACCCCTTCCTACACGCCCAACATACAGGGCCCCACTTTTCTGATTGCGCATCACACGAGGGGGTAGTTTTGCGGACCATGGTCATGGATCCAGAGCACCCCAGCCAACGGACAGAACACAGTTCAGTGCAATGAG